TCCTGAAAAAATTAAAGAATTAAAAAAAAAATAGGCAATTTTACTTAAAAATACATATATATTCATAAGCAACCAGGAATGCTGAAATGAATTTCCACATAGATGAAAAACCAGTTGGTGGCATCAGAGTTGTAATTGCAGCTCTTTCAGATGTAATTCATTTGCATTTCTATGGACAAGAGCCAGTGCAATTACTACCAGTATTCTACAACTTACAAAATTATAAAATAACACAGTGCTGAGGTAGAGATTTCCATCATCACCCATAGGCTAGAGACTAGATCCAGAGAGAGTGCTATGCAAAAGCCCAGAGGCTAATTTGCTAAGGTTGCAAAGAGAGAATGGAGATACTATTCAAGGGGGTGGGTAGGATGGGTGGGAAGGGGACTGGCTCCCATTACAGTTTCCCAGTGACTGAACCTGGCCAGATGCTAAGAAAGAAGGAGGTCTGGGAGAGTAGCCTACAGGGTCAGCACCTGATTTTGTACAAAGTAGAGCAGGAAAAGGGTGAGGAATGAAACTAAAGATATGGGTCTGTTATGCAGGACTGGTCACCTCTTCAAATTTCATCAGATCTAAGATGCCCTTGATTGGGGCATGCACCATTATATTATGTACCAGTATGAAAGAAAAACGCTGCCAACTAAACTGACACAATGCTAATTAATACTGCATTGCAGGACTGGGGTGGTGGCTCAGTGGTAGAGCGCTTGCCTAGCACTTGTGAGGCACTGAGTTCAATTTTCAGCAGAAAGAAAGAAAGAAAGAAAGAAAGAAAGAAAGAAAGAAAGAAAGAAAGAAAGAAAGAAATGAATGAATGAATTGTGTACATTTACAACTAAAAAAGAAAGAAAGAAAGAAAAAAGACTGCATTGCAGGGTTGGGGATGTAGTTCAGTAGTAGAGCACTTGCCTCACATGTGTGAGGCCCTGGGTTTGATCTCCAACAGCAGCCCCCCACCCCACATACACAAAAAGACTGCATTGTAATGCATCTTGAAATGTTGAAATGGGGCGATGGGAAAGGTTGATTAATGGGTACTAAGTAACAGGAGTAAGACATTCTGGTATGCTATTGCACAGTAGTCTCAGATAACAATGATGTGCTGTATTTCCAAAAGCTAGAAGAAAGGATTTTGAATGTCATCACTACAAAGAAATGATAAATGTTTGAGGTAGATATGTTTAACCTGATTTACACATCACACAATGCTATATATATTGAAATGTCACATGCTACCCAGTTAGTATGCACAATTTTGTTTCTATGTACCTTACACAATTTTAATTTGAATAAAAAATAAAGTGATGATAAAAAAAATCATGAAATGTGAAAAATGTGTATCTTAAGATCAATAACAGGGGCTGGGGATGTGGCTCAAGTGGTAAAGTGATGGCCTGGCATGCGCAGAGTGCTGGATTCAACACCACATTAAAAATAAAATAAAGATGTTGTGTCCACTGAAAACTACAAAGTAAATATTTTTAAAAATCAATAACATACTATTTGCGTGTGATTTTTATCTTTTTGTGCTACTGGGGATTGAAACTAGGGGTCTTGCACATACTAGGCAAGTTCTCTACCACAGAGCTACACCCCAGCCCTGCTGTGTGATGATCTTAAGCTCCCTGCTGTGT